ACTATGGTGATCTCTAGTACGGGCTACACATTAATCAAAAATAATAAAATTTATTGAGGAAATTAAAACTAGCGTCAAAAATAAGGAATGTATATAAAGCATTTTTTACCTGTCCCAAGTCAATCTTGTGTGAACGATGATTTGTCTGAAGGTATAATACGTCGGACTGCATCGGTCCCGGATCCATAACGAATATATTTGAGATTAAAATACAATATGTTAGATTTTGTAGTTGAATGACTTAATCATATATATATTTTACATATTCAAGATTCAAAGATTCAAAGAAAAAAGGTTATATATTACCAAAACGATTGTCACATGGGAACAAGGATTATAATTAGAAGGTTATATATTATAAAAATGGAACAAGGATTATAATTAAAAGGTTATATATTACAAAAACGATTGTCACATGGGAACAAGGATTATAATTAAAAGGTTATATATTACAAAAACCATAAGCGATATATTCCATAAAATTATCCTCGAATAATCAACGCCTATAATCCTAGTTGAACAACTATTTTTGTTGTGGCCCGGTTGATCGCATCTACTATACTTATTTTTTCTCCTAATTCCTTCTTGATCGTTATCCATATTATTTCTAATTCGTATGGATCGAGGTCGTCTAGCTGATCTTTTATACAAAGAAGGTAATATCTGTGGCCCACCTTGTGTCCAATGTCGACTGTCATATGATGGACGAAAACACTCTTTGTATGTTTATTGATAATTATAAGTTGAATACTAATCTGTAGTGAATGTATAATATAAAATCCTCGTATCACCCTGTAGATCCGAACAAGCCGTGACAACATGGGAACAATGAAGCTATTGTAATATGGTATATTGCAAGTGCGTGTACAAGTGTGATCCACTAGCATATTAACTTTATAAGATCGACTTTCTCTATGTGATATTCCCTCAATGACCTCCCATTCATTAAAACTATATCTTACGATACGAAATGATCAAGCCTGCACGATCCAATCCACTAATATGCCTTCAACCTTTGGCGCTAGCTCTGACGGGATATTTGTACCAAGTGTGCGTCGTCTAAGAAAGAATTTATTAAGTCTGTAACATATTTTTACAACTAGTGACTGTAGGCATATTGCGTGCTCCCCAAAGCATACCATTGAAACTCTCAGAAGCGTTAGTGATCATCATACAAAACCATTTCCTATCATATTCACATAAAGCCCACTTATCAACATTGTTCGGACCCAAAACTAGTCTCGATCTAATCATGTACAGCTCGTGAAATGAACTTAATACTCTCCCGTAGTTGCTCATAAACTAATTTTTCGTTGCACATCCAGCTTTCCAAAGAATATCTTGAAGCTGCACTTGTTCATGCTTCCTCTTGAAGTTGTCCCTAATATGTCGCAAGCAATAGCGATGTTAATGTAGTGACGAAAAATATCGTTGGAGTGCTATTGTAATTCCTTTCATCCTATCAAATATGAATATAATCGACCGGGTTCTCACACTAGGGATATGATATCTAATGCATGCAAAAAATCATGTTCAGTTTTTTATGTTTTCAACATCAACCGGTGCAAAGGCCAAAGGAAACAAACCGTTATCTGCGTCTACTCTAGTTGTAACAAACAAAATGTCTTTATATTTACCGTATAAGTGGGTGTCGTCAATGCTAAGAAGAGGACGATAATATTTGAATCCCTCAATGTAAGGCCCAAATACCCAAAATATACCTATGAAGCATCTATCTCCGCCATCATCAGGGCTTGATGATACTTCATACACTGTCCCTGGATTTTCTTTTTTGAGTGCTTCAAGATAATGTGATAAGATCTCATAAGATTTATCCCAATCTCCGAATATTTTTATCATTGCCTTCTTTCGAGCATTCCAATACTTTTTGTATGATACATCCAAGTTGGTCGCTTTATGCACTAAAAGACGAATATCCTTTGGCCTTAAATTAAGATCCTCCATTAGTTTAGGCATAATTAATCAATATATGAAAGAGGGGGACACGTGCTTATAATTCATCTCTAATCGAGGATTGCTACATGTGTGAAGTCCGTTGTAGTGTGTGATTTTAAATTATCCGCCTACTCTTACACCCAAGCGTGAATTAAGCTTCCAAGGATATTTTACATTGTCGTCATGGTGCCCACCACTATCTTCTTCTTCTCCATCTTTACGGTAAAAACAAACTACATTATAGCTTGTTGCATTGCTTTTTATCTGTCTAAACTTGACATTTTTTTGGATGGACCACAAACGAAGCGCATGAATCAATTTCTCATTGCTTTCAAATAGATTGCCTTTTTTGAATAAGAAGTCCTCGCCTTGTGTATCATCAACTACATTAGCACCGATAGGAATACTTTCTATCGTGGAGTTATCAATTCATTCTTCATCATGAAGTTCATCGGGCGGCAAATCCTCTAACACGACATACTCATTGTTAAAGTATCATCCGTTAATATATTGGTTATTCCCTTCATCATGATCTATCAAATACGTCATGCTATTGATTTGTAAGTCATCCTCTTCATCATCATCCTCGGATTCGACACTTGCATTATCATCTTCTATCGTCACTCTTGTGGAAGGCATTATATCTTGATGGTGAGTACTATCATCGAAGGCATTTGAAGTGCCCACAAGTGAAGGACTGCTTAAGTATTGTGACTGTGTCCATCATACATCTTGTTACGGAGATAAAAAGCTGGTGAAGTCAACTTCAAGATCCTCCAACATGTGGGAATATACTCCATCGTGATTCACCGATTTGCCCAGATTTATGTTATGCTTTTCAATAAATAATTCCATCGAACGCTTCTTGTCATGCAATATTCCAATAAGACCCATATCGCAGTCACTTGAGATTTGGATGTCGTTTGTTCTGTTCCCTGTAACAGGATAATTGCAAATAACGTTTAGGTGATACTCATGTGAATTGGTTAGTGTAAATTTTTGTAAGTCATTAACCAATTCATCGAAAGTATATGATTTTGATATAAACAACGACTTCGTCACACCTCCTTCATATTAAGTCCCGTGAAGTTTTGGGCCCCCTTAACTAACTTAATTATGAGTGCTTAAACTTCACGAGACTTGAAGGTTTTGTGATGTTTTTCATCAAAATCGACCCAGTTTCAGCCAGTTGATTGAAACTAGGTCAATTTTGATGATTAAATTAGAAACATATCGGTTTTTGCAATTAAGTTTCTAAATAGGTTGGTTTTGAAAATTTGTCCTTATAGTTTTGATTTGTGCTGGTACCTTGTGCAAGTGGGAGGAAAAGATTCCATTTTTTTTTACTGTTTTTCACATTATTCGTGCTTCTTATGAAAACTTTGCTTTGGGCCTGGTTCCTAATCTGAGAAGTTGTAATTAATAAGGGATCCTAAAAAGAAGTAATTTATTTTGCTTTTTTTAACCTCTACTTCTAACACCAAATATATTTGATATCCCTATTAGCTAATTTTAGTTGTTTTCTAAGATGGGCTACAACCAAAAGAAAGATCCTAAAGGGCCCCAGCTTTCCCAGAGAACACAAGATTGAAGAGATTGGTTAGTGCAAAAGTGGAAAGGAAAAGAAACATTTTTAGAAAACTTAAGATGTTGCCGCAAGAGAAAAATATCATACCTAAACAAATATAGCAACGATTTTTATTTTTATTTTTTGGGTGCCATATAATATGTCCCTCTTCTTTCTCATTATATGATATTCTACAGAGGGTGCAGTGCAAGGATTTCTTTTTTGATCAATCTCTCTCATACATTTTTCAAAAAAAATTAAATTACCAAGTTGCCAATCACTTCCTTTCATTTCCCTCAAACAACAAAAAACCATCAAACAATAACAACCAAAACTCCATCCACACTTTCTCATGTGAAGTCAAAATACACACACAAATTACCTTTTCTAACTTTGTAACCCATGGTACCCAAAAATAAATAAATAAATAAAATAAAGACTTTCTAACCCTTCGAAAAAAAACAACGAACAACCAATGCAGTGATATGACACGTCCCCATGTTCAGCCTACCGAAATTGCATGCAAAGTACAAAGATAGCTCCAAAATTCTACAGCTGGCGTCCCTCCACTTGCCATTAAAATCTTAGGAAGCAATAAGTATACAAACTGTAAATTTGGTGCCAATTGCGCTATTTAGTTTTGGAATTTGAGAAATATTGACTCATTTGAGCTAGCCCGTGACTAGCATGTGTTCTTATTCGTGCAGGAGTCTATTGGATCTAGTGAGTCCGTGAATAGGTAGCTGCTTGTTTGATTTTAAATTTTTATTTTTATTTTTATTTTTATTTTTCCTTTTTTATCACTGGCAGATGCATGCATGTGTTATCTCTAATCAAGGTCTTGAAAGGAGAGCACATGCTCACATTGATATTTTACTTACTTACCTATGATTTGTAAGTTTGAAAATGGTTGGTCTCAAAAGTAATTGTTAACTTGCAAATCTTGGAAAGATAAGGGTATAACTGATTTTAGCCATGGAGAGAGACTTCCAAAAATCATCATCATCCGAGAAAATCTTGAATGGTTATGCTTCATTGTGATTTCTAAATATAACTACTATCATATTCACACTCATTCCTACGACATGAATCATAATCGTGCATTATTTAACAGACGGTTATGATACCGCCTTTGATTTGTGTCATCAAGAACGAAGGCGTATCAAAGCAGTAGTATTCTTTGAAAGTTGATAGCTAAAAGATATGCACAAATATGATACACGAACACAAGCGCAAGTTTTACGGCAACAAAATAGTGATGTAGGGAGGAGCAGAGATGGACTTAAGAATGTAATAAACTCAGATAAAGGAAAATGAAGGAGATAACCCTCAAATGTTCTATAAGAAGAAAAGCATATAGCTACTTCCCATACTGTTGTCATGGTATGCACAATATTTTGGCTAAGTAATTTATATAGGTTTTCCCTCAGGAGGGAAAAAAAAGTTGAAGCTTTCTTGTTTATGCCAGGGCTAGAAGAGCCTAAAAAGTGGTTGAACCCATCAGAATACAAGATACATAACAGTGCAAGAGAGCCACATTCTGCGTAGGATTACAGGCAAATTTCACCTAAACATTCGATTGTTCTGCACAAATTGATAAGATAGCTGTGAATACTTGAAAATTATGGTAGGGGTAAAAACTGGGACAAAATTACAACATATCAGTACTCATCAGAGACTAGGAACCAAACTAGAGGACGCTATGAATGAAGGCTTTGCATTAACTATCCTAAATGAATTGAACTATCAAACCTTTTTCTCTGCTATCATCTTCAAGTGAAAATGTGGGCATCCGCAGACCAAAACCCTGTGCCATGCCACCAATCCCTAAAACCTAAAATTGAACTTATTGTACGACAATTCTTTGTTATATTGTACAGATAAAATCTAGAACACTCGTCGAAAATTCACTAGGTGCAGGCATCATGGATCAAATACAGAGTTCATCATCAGCTGCTCAACGATACATCAGCTGCTCAACGATACATCAGTTGAAAGATATCTCACATGGTTAAACTGCTTCAACTTGGAAATAGCCTCTTTTGTCTTCCCTTGTAAGAGATCGACATATGCTATTGCAAGCAAAGCTTTTGGATGCTTAGGAACTAAAGCTAGAGCCTCAGAAGCAAATCTGCTAGCCTTTTCAAGATCTCTTTGAATTGCAAACATTGCTGAGAAATTAGCAAAAACAATCCCACGAGCCTCCTCAGGCTTCAAGAACATCAAGCTCTGGGTATCTTCGGCATTATTTTTAGAAGGCAAAGAACTGTTTGAATCTTCAAAATCATTAGCCCCTCTCTTTGAGAACCACTTTTCTCTATCCTCATTACCATAAGGCAATTCGACATTGTTGCCATCTGTGAGGTATACTGATAAATATTCTGCTGCTTCTTTAGATCGGTTCAGCCAACAAAGTGCTTCAGAGGCATAAGTGTGACCGAGAAAGACATAAATTTTGGAACATTCTGGAAGATCGAGGAGTGATTTTGAAAAAGAAAGAGCTTTCAAAGGGTTTTCTAAGCATAACTCAACGTAAGCTAGGGCTCCAAGAACTGCTTGCCTAATCATGTGATTCTCTTCTCTCCTCATGTCCTCATATGCAGAAACAGAGCTCTGCAATATGGAGGATGAACTCGAAGTACCCTTGTTTTCTTTTGAATCTCCATTTGCTTTTGAGTCTCCTGTCGATGCATTCTTGTGGGTTGAATTCTTGCCGGATTTTACCTGATCAGATTCCTCCTGATTCAAGGCAGTGACCGAATCACCTGATTTAATTGCTTTCTGCTCAGTTTTGTTCAATAAGATTAACACATTTTGCAGACAATAACGAGCAAATGGAAGGGAGAGCTTGCATCCATTGGTATTTTCTGAGTTAGAATATCCATCTGTTGACTTCAAATCATCGATAACTAATTGTCTCCATCTGCCTGAACCAGCAACATGAACTCTTATGTCTTCACCCTTTGATCCCAAAAGCCCCTTCTCTAAAGCCATGAGACAGCATTCAGCAAGACGAAGCCACAGGAGAGGCCGGTTGTAGAAAATCAAACTGGATTTACCAAAACACTTAGCTGCAACCAATGGTTTTCCACAGGCCAGGTGCTGAATCCCACAGTTGTATATGATGAGAAGCGATTTGTCCTGCGAAAATGTAGAAAGCTTCAGAGGTTTCTCAGAACGAAGTGACGAGCTGCTTTTCAGTGCCTTGGAAAATAGAAGGCCTGAAGTGTGGTGACTCCTTAGCTGGTAATGAACGCAGCCAAAATTGTTATTAAAGATACTAAGAATTTCTGGTTCTGTTCTGTTGCTGGATGTCATCAGAAGCTTAATGGCCTTCCGATGGTTACCACGGGCATATTCTAGCTGAGACTTCAAGATTAGCTCGGTCGATGAATCTCTTCCTCTTGCCATGTTCATAGCAAGCTTAACTTCTCGTTTTGCAGCCTTTATATTCCTAGTGAGAAGAAGTAGCCGGACCTTGTAGAGATGCATTTTGAGTTTTAGATCAGTAGCAGGAGCAGCACGATGAGCTGATGCTTTTGTGACATCATTTACTGAGCGGCGGCCCAGGTTCTGACCGCTACCATCCAGTGTTGAATACAAACTCTCATACTCTAGGGCATCATCTGATAATGTTCCTGAGAGAGAGTTCTCGTTGATGTTGGCACTCGAATCAGAACTGGTCCCATCTGTCATGGAGGTACTGCTCATTGTCGATGCTTTCAGACCCTGATTCAGAGATTGCTGTTGAGTTGTGTTTCCATTATCACTCTGGTTCATGGTGTAGCCAACACCAAAACATTTTTCCAGGTACTGGATCACATCCTGAAACCAAGAATAAGATATTATGGCAGACTAAAGGAGAAATTAGCCGACTAGAAAATATCTAAAACAAGACCAAAGTCATATACTTCCACAATGTCATTGAAATGAGGAAAGACCAAATCTCAAACTATTAACCAGAGAAGTAGTGTTATTATTTTATTAGTATGTCCATCCAGTGGTGACATTGTAAAGAGCTAAGCATGGTAATGAAGTGGTCCAGACTCTAGGGTAAGCATACGGAAGGCGCTTCCTGAGGGAAGAATGCAGGCCATTAAAAAAAGTTTAAGAAAGCAAACAGCATTTGTCAAATGTCACAGATAGCCTAGATGGGTTCATCTCCGCCAGGTATTCATAAAAAATTATTACAATCCGCTAACCAGCCACTATCAGTTCCTGGTCAAACATGACAATTAATCTTTGAGATCTCTATATTCCTTAACCTAATTCAAAAATCCTGAGTTGTGTTCTATGTTCTGGTTTTTCATTTGATAACACAATATCGACGAGATTATAAATGTAAAGGACAAGGGAAACTATCCAGAAAAAAGAATCCTTTACAAGCCAATAGGCATCGAGAATCTGGAAAATGGTCCATTTATAACTTCAGATCACTTTGAGTTTGGGGAAATAGTCATTTCGGTTGCCAGTGGCCAATGCTTCAGCACTATAACCTATTTAATTATGTATTGCACAAGCAATTTCTTAAACTTCTTTACTATGTTACTCCAAACTTAAAAAATTCCCCCAACACTAAAACCCATAATCTACTCCATCTACAAACCATGTTTTCCCATTGTCCAGATCCCATCACTGGGTTCAACTAAATTTTCAAGCCCATAAACAATTCAGTACGAACTTCAGACCCTCCTTGCTACGAGCCTTTCAAAAGATCCCCTTTCCGTTGCATAGCACAAACACAAGTTCTTTAGTTTCTAAGCTTTCTCAATTTAGCTCCTAACAGAACTATTAGATCTTGCTGTAGATTCTAAAATTTCCATAACTACTCACATGAAAACCATCAACGTCGCAGATTTAAAGAACAGTAAAACAACAATATGCTTCAACAAAGAACAAATGTTGTGAACCATGACACGGTTCTTAAGGCTCATCCAAACATATAAGGTCAAATTACATTTCATTTCACTTCAATATTTTAGTTGTGGCATGTAAGAAACAATAAATTTGGGAGACATTCACCTCTGTTGTAAGGGACAGAGAGAACATAATATACTATGAATAAATAGGACACTTATAAACCAGTTATATAAACCAGCTTTGGTATGTATAGGTCACTGACACTTAATCAGCAATGTGTCATGCAATAATCTTAAAATCTTACAAAACTTGAAAATACATTATTATTGGCTTTACAAAATAAAAAAAAATCTGTCCGATTTTAACAAAGAAAATAAAAGACTAAGATAAATATGTTGAATGCCGTCCTAATCTGAATTAGCATTTAGCAAGTCAATAACATGCATGAATAATGTTTGGTATAAGATAGAACACAACAAAAACTGCACAATATAAGCAGTAGGTCATTGCACATAATTTTCCTGCCTAGAAAGTTCATCACTTCCGGAAAAGGAATGGATGGACAAAATTAACCAATGAGTGTGATGGAACGAGTACATATTTTATCAGAATTAATCCCATACAATAGGGCGATCTATAACATTCACGACTAAGAAGAGGGTTAGTGTTGGAAGCACCGCCGTCCTATAGGGGAGGTTCTGATAGGATCTGTACTCCACGGACACTAGCTAGATAAATTAGACGCATAATGAAGTGGACACAAGGCAATACTATACGGGTGAAGAAGATATCATACCTTGTAGCATGTATGACATTAACCAAAACGGTACCCATCAATGACAGTTAGGAGCTGGGTTGGAATTGACCATAAAAAGCTAGTTAACTTAAAAAGGATAATTTTTTGAAAAGAGGCTTAGCAGAGATGAATGATCTAGAATTCTCAGATTCACAAGGAACTATGTGATTCAACCAGTTACATTCTAGTTTAGATATGAAAAGCACGAAAGATTCTTGGGTGCGTCTCTCCATATTTCTTGGGTCAGGTTCCATGAAGCGATCAAAGCAAGGAAACTTCCTAGGCATATATACGGCCAGTAAGAGAACGTTGCCCCATGATGAACAGATGCCAAAGCCTTGAATCAAATTCAGTTATGAACAGATGCCAAAGCCTTGAATCAAATTCAGTTATGTGAAATGGTTGCCGTTGATTTTCATGGTAGTTCAACCTCCCCAAGGTAAGAGAACAAATCCTCTGGTCCTGAGCCTTGAGATTGCTCTGGCTTAGAAATAATAAATATTGGCAACTAAGTGAATTTAATCATCAAAGTTAATGAGTAACATGTACTGATTAGCGTATTCTGTAGTCAACTAACAAACATAGGTTATATCAGATTAGTGGTTTGACACATAGTTGCAATAATATGCTCCCTCGGGAATATTTCACCACTACATGAACAATTGTTTGTTAAGGTGATAATGGATTTCCAACTAGTGTAAGAGCAAAATTTCTTTCATGTTTAAAGCAGGAATAAAATTGTATTTCAGGTATGATAACTGATCCCTCTATGTCTAGGAATTTACTTCCAATTCAGAAAGCTAATTCCAGTGAAATTTAGCTGGCAAAACAGTCTGAAATTATCAGATGTAACTTGCATTGTGAAGCCATATAAATGGATATGTTTATGTGGCTATGTCTGAGCCCTTGAGGTACGTATAATGTATAACACAATAAGGATTAAATTTAAACAAGAGATTTGTATGCACATGAGAGTAGCTCATAAGGTTTGTGAATGGGGCTTATAAGAGATGCAATGGGAACAGGTCAAAAAATTTTGAGCAAAAAGCACAACAAAGGTGGAACCACCAACATATGCATGAATTTGAGGGTTTCAAGGATGGCATACAAAGAACAAGGATACTTTTTAGGGGAAACAACCAAAATAAGACGATTTTTAGGAATGAAGGTAAATCTGAGAAAATTCAGACATTTCAAATGTTGTCAAGATAATTGAAGATATGCATAAAGGGCTCAAGAGATCTGCTGAAATTTTCCATCATGTAAGATGGGGCTAAACTACCAAATTGGTATTTAAAATAAACTCAGTTTACCGCTTTGTTATTTAAAAAATGCCCCAGCATATTTTTTGGTATTTAAGGTGTGTAAAAGTGGCAATTAGGTAATAAAAAACTCGCTTTTCCAGAGAGAATTGTTGGGAAATTTTCTTCAAACACCCTGACCTTTTAAATTTATTGTATTTTACACCCTTATTCTCCTTCGACCTTCCCAAGCTCAAATTTCTGTCTTCCACTTTACCTAATAATACCCTTCTTCACCCTTTTTCCTCTTTCATAAATATAGCCCTTCTTCTCCTTCAACCTCTTCCTATACATACCCAAACCTTAGTTCAAATGCTCAACTCCTTCTTTGCACTAGGGTTTACGTTTGAATTCTGGATTAGGGTTTGGGTTTGAATTGGGAGAGTTTGAAGGAGGAGCGGCTCCATTAATGAGAGAGAAGGAAAGGGCGGAAGAGGGTCTCATTGGGTAAAAAGGTAGAAGAAATTTGAGTTTTGGGAGGTTGCAGAAGAAGAAGGGGTAAAATACAATAAATTTAAGAGATCAGGGGGCTTGAAGAAATGTTCCCAAAAGTTCTCGCCGGAGAAAATGAATGCCGACGAGTTTTTGTACCTATTCGCCACAATTACACAGTTTAAGTACCAAAACGACGCCTGAGACCAAAGCGATAAACTAGGTCTATTTTAAATGCCAAATTGGTAGTTTAGCTTATAAGATGGAGAAGTTAAGACGATCCTTAATAGAAAAAAGATGTGAAGACAAAAGTAGGATGTGTCAGCAGTAACAGAATGAAGAAGATGAACACGCATTGAACTACAAGAAAACTAAATGAATATGATAGTTCCCAAGGAAATATAAATTGACAGAAGAATCAGAAGGTAATTCCTATAGTGCAGCATAAACGATTAAGATGAAGTCAGAAAGTGTTACTGGTGTAAACATGTGGTAAAAAATGAGAATAAGTCAATAAGATAAGAGATTTGCTAGAAACAGGTTCTCTGGCACTGAATAGCTTGAAATGGTGGAGATGTCCAACAATTGCAACAGGAAGAGTGCCAAAAAGAAGAGAAGGTGGAAAAAGTAGACTGAAAGGAGACTTGCATGCAAGTTTCAGCTTTGAATTTCATCAAGATTGAGTCAAGAGTTGAAGTAAAACAAACAGGCATGAGAAAGCTCTGGCGACAATATGCAAGCTTTTGATATACTTTACAAGTAAAACTTTGTACAGAAAGGAAAAGAACAGTGATTGAGTTATTGCAACAATCATACAAGGCCATCACAATCTATACTACTTATAAAAGAGAATACCCATGTTAAAACTTTTGATTTCCTTTTTTACCCTCTCAATTTTTTATAACTCAAAATGACATCATTAATTATAAAACTAATGATCCATAACTTCTCATCAACTATGCACCTTTTCGTTTTCTCAAATTATCTGGCCATTCAATAGAATATATTAATAATTTATAATGATAACAAAATTCATGAATATATGATACTTTATTATAAAGAATTATTAATTATATAAAATAGTAAAAGTCATTCATTTAATAAATTTTTGCACATAATTATAATTATTAATAATAATATAAATAGGGGTTATTTCTTTATGTTGTAAAGAATATTACCTTGTTCGATAATTAATATCATCTTAGTAATAAAAATTTGGATGTTATAAGTTAAAAATAATTTTATTTTAGAAAATTACTTTATATAAAAAATCTGGATCCTTAAAATTTATGAGACATATACTTTTCTCTTTTTTTCTTCAAAATATTTGGCCACTCGCTAGAATATACTAATAATTTATAATGATAACAAAATTAATAAATATATTATAATTTATTATAAAATAATTATTAATTGTAACAAAATAGTGAAATTATTTATTTAATAAAATATTGTACATAATTATAAATATTAATAATAGTATAAATAGGATTTTCATATTATAACGATTATTACCATTTATGATATTATAATATTGTCTTAGACATAAAAAAGTGACATTATGAACATAGTGCAATAAAATATTGGATCTTTGAAATTTAAGAGTCATGCACTTTTTGTTGGAAAGTAAATGTCTCATATATTTCAAGGATCCAATATTTTTATATAAATTACTTTTTCTAAATAATAGTATTTTTAATTTATACCATCCAATTTGTTATTATTAAGACGATATTAATTATCGAACAAGGTAATATTCTTTACAACATAAAGTCATATAATACTAAAAAGTATTGCCATTGTTTAATAGATATTGTAATAAAATATGTACATGACATAAATATTTAATAATTTAAATGATTTAATTATATCAATAGTGTAGTTTAATGATTACATTATTATTTAATAATTATACTCCTAAATAAATTGTTTAATAATATAATAATAGAAGATTTTAAATAACTATTAAATGTATGTTAATAATAGTATAAGAACTAATATTAGTATAAGTTAAAAAATTATAATCATAGTGCAATAAAATAAATTTTAATGGTTATATATAATTTATTAAATGATATAATATTAAATACAACAACACGTCCACGTGCAATGCACGTGCATTATACTAGTATCTTCCAAACATCAATTGCACTGAAAAAAAGGTGTGGTACATTAAAGGTACATTAAAGGTTTGAACTTACTGAAGCTTTCTCCGCATCTTGAGAAGCTAATGCAACATCCAACAAAAGAAGGCAGACATGAAGAGCTGTTGTCTGTAAATGAACAAGTAACAAGTGAGAGAAAAAGGACTAAAGAGCCTGCACAAACCACAAATCAAAATCATCTGTGCATCATACCTCGTCTATGGGATCAATGTTTTGATATAATGGTTCCAAAATTGACAATGCATGTGCATATTCATGCAGATGATAAAGTACAATTGCCTGCAGAAGCACCCACATAAATCAAATACGTGTTAATACTCAAATAATCTACAGTTTCCTTCAAGCACAAGGAAATATATTGAAAAAGAATGGCACAACAGAAACATACAGCGTTCAGTGTGATAATAGAAGTGTCAAACTCATCTGCATATGCACTGCTGGCATCCGTAGCAGATAGCTGATGTAGGTTATTACTACTCCCTTTAGATCCAGAAGTAGTGCTACCAAGATTGCCTGCACTGTCCACTTGCTCACCTGCTGAATGGGAAAGCTCTTCACTTCTTTTCTGCATTACAATAAACAGCCAATAGCATATTTAGCATTTCAACAAAACCAATAACTAGTTAACCAACAGCGGTTTAGCTGTAATATTGGCAAAGTGGCACGAAATACAAGAACCAACAAGGAACTATAGGCATACTCAAGCATCACTTCAACAATTGAGAAAGGCATAGGACAAATTCATAGACATTGATTCTTTCAAACAATGAGTCAATCAATAAACCGATCTCAAAGGCATAGGACAAATTCATAGACATTGATTCTTTCAAACAATGAGTCAATCAATAAACCGATCTCTGCGATGTAAAGTGTCATATAGAAAGTTAACTGCACGTGTTTAGGAAGGGGGGGAAATACTGATATATAACTGTCAGTGCTATAAAGAAGAAATAGATTTCTGCACTGAAGGAAGAGAAATCCTAAAAGCAAAAAATGTTACAAGCAAAAATAAAATATGACAGCAATCTCAACAATAAGACCGTCTAAGCATGAATGCATATGTGGTGGTTACTGTTAATGCATGACTGCATGGGTGTAACACTGCAGGAATCCTAGATTACTATTAGAGAATAACCCAAATATCTAAGCAACTATCAAATCAATGAGAAATATTGCATGGAATGATAAATAAATGCACCTTACCTTAACCTTATTGAGCACATCAAGGAGTTTCCTTGGATCAGTACAACCATCACGGAAGTATTCAGCTACAGCAAGGTTATGAAGAACCTGAACAGAGAAAACAGACAATCAACGCATAAGTGTCAGTCAAGGAATCTCTGGAAGTAACCTAAAAGAATCATTTTGTTCCAGATGTATATGTCACGCATGCAAGCATGAATACGAAAAGGATTTTGATGCAGCAGAAAAACACTACTGGTTTTTTTTTACTCAATTAATAATTTGATGGGTCCCCAAACATTACTGCATAAAATTACTTTAGTTGTACATGGGATCTTCCGATGAATTTTAGTTGATAGAGAATTATATGACAGATTATTCAACCAGCGGTTACTATCAGTATTTGTAAGAAATGGCTAGCAAATGCAACTGTGTTGACTGATAACTCATTAGGAACAACACCTTAAAAACGATCATTGAGAATTAAGCTTTAACATTTTTTGATAATTAAAAAAAGAAAATGGAAACGTATATAGAGAAAAACACAATCAAAGGATCCATTGACAGCTATTAATGTGTGTAGTCCATAATAAAATAAATGGAAAGGTGATGTCGCTATCCATAGGTGAAATTGAACTAAACGAACACATGTTCATGAGTGAATAGTTCTCAAGTAAGCATCTGGAACTGAGAAACTAAATTTGTTAATACATATTTGTCATAACTTAACATGCAAATATCAAGGATATGGCTGTTAGTTGATTGCTTCAGTTCTGATTGCCTATTGTATCCTGCCTCTTACGCATAGACTACAGAAGAACAGTAAAACAAACAGAGAAAATAAGATAGAAAACAAATCAATTTGGAACAAACAGGAAGGTAGAAACTGTCAGGCTATCAAGTAGTATAGAAGCTCAACTGAAGAATGGTCAATTCAAGAGCAGACCTGAGCAGAGTTTGAGATGGAGAACATTAGAACCAGCTAACATTCTGGAGAACACTGAACACCATACTTTCATTACGATAGGACATTAGAAACAGCTAATGTTTTGGAGAACACTGATAACCAGACTACCATTATGATAGTAATGGGCTAGTACTATGTCATTCAATCTTTAGATTGGCATGTCCATCAGACTGATGAAAAAGGATAAGATGGAAAGTGGTCTAGTTGATATTCTTGACAACACCAAGGCCATCTACGAAAAAATCGCTGTGTTAATGGCAATAAAGATAGTGCCAGTGTGCTAAGTCATTCAGCCCTGATGTTTGACATGTCAAGGTAGCATCTAGAAAATTATATGTTAAAGATCAGAACGAGATGCTACCAGATTTTTACCATAAGCAACATCAAGAAACAAAATTTTTATGCGCTAGAAATACAGACATTCCTAAGCACTAGACACGTGAGACATGATGAAATGATCATGATGATCACATAATGAACCATCAAAAAACAGTATAACTGACATGAGATGTATACTACAATCGATGTTTGCAGTAAGTTAATAAATATATAGTCTATATTGCCAGCTAATTAAGTTTTACATTGATGCTCATTGTTTGTATTTGCATCTAGATACAGTCCTCTCTTTCCAAAAGTAATTTCGCAAAGGAAATTCGAACTTTTACAACTACTTACAAGAAGCTTCTTGCATTTGACTCCAATGCATTAGAAGCCAGGACTAATAAGCAATTATTGACTTCCTCTCTTACTTCTAGCCCCATTTATAATTACAAAAAATAAATCCAATTGGCATTAAGGATATTCTAAAATTAGTTCCACTTATAATTCCATATGGTTACATTTGTTTATTTTTTACTCATTTAATCAGAAAAATATCATAATCCAGCAGCCTCCAAGTAGATAACCAAAATAAATGGAGAATATCATTGCACTACCAAAAATGAAGCAACAGTGCATGGCTATGTATATGGAATTTTAAGGGCAGGCATGATCTGAAATGCTATGTACATTAACACAATGGTATCACCATGTACTCCAGCAAGTCGATTCTTGGTGGACTAATGTAAAGTTGATTTGATGAGTGGGAAAATTCCACAATAGTTTTATTTTAATAGAATCCTTTGAGTTGACAACGTCCAACGTGATCAAGAAGTGTAACTGTCAAAACCTTTAAAAAAACTGGTTAATTATTTCTTAGAGGAACTCATATGGAAATCATCAAAAGAATCGAGTCAGCATCAGCCTTACCAATGATTATCACTTTCTTACTAAGATTACCACTAAATACATCATGTCTCCTCATCAAATGGGATAACTTTACACTTATGCGAAGTGCAGAAAATATAAATTGTTTATGTGTTCTATATTCACATATTGATAAGAAGATCGACCTTATTCTAATTGATGGTAAACAAAATTAAACAGTCACCCTAAGCATTCAAAAAGATTGACATTCGATGGATAAACCCAGAAGGGAAATATATCGACAGCAGAAGATGATATGCATCTTCCTCCCCATGCTTATTTCAAATTAATCTACATTAGAGCCTTCTTGGAGCATGATGAGGACCTCGAAGCTTTCTTCCTTCAGGTTTGAAGCAACAACACAAAATTAGATGTTACATTGCCTAATCCTATCACTGAAAATCCTCTTAAAAAGTTATCATCAAAGCATTAAGCAATTAGCAAAGAATAATTTACCAAAAGCCTTCAATACAATCCTAGTCCAAATTACAACCAACTCTTAATTATTCAACAAGTTCCTTCTACAGTATTCCTTTCCATCTTGTTCACGCCATCGAAACCCTAAAAGATATTTTCAATGATCGGTCTCAATTAAAACGCACTAAACCCATCCCTAGACGCGCGCACCCCATAAACAAAACTATATAGATTGATAAGAATACAATACATGAGATTTAGCATTGATACACTCCGTCCAGCTAGCATTAGTATAGTATAGTTATTGCAATATGCAAGTTAATGGTAAAATTTCAAAATCAGAACAATAAAATATGGGGCATGGGCACTAATGGTTTGCTAATGAAACATGAGGCTCACAGTAACTCAACTCTTAGCCTTTAAGCCAGCATCTGTAACTTTGGTCCTTCAGACAATTATGTAATCCGTTGACTCATACACCTATCATCACAAGCTCACAGAAAAAAGAAAAATCTAAACAACCAACCTTGTGCCTCGTTATATATAACAAAACTCTAGATAATCAAGTCTCGATAGCAGTCCACTTGACACATAAAAAAAACTCAGATCAATCTGCACGTCGTATGTTAGCTTTAATTGAACTCTAATTCTGGGTTTTTCTTCTATGCAAGTCATTCTTTATTGCATTGAACTCACAGAAAATGGTAATTCCTCATTCCTCCTAGGAAAAATTATCTATCCTATTCAAAAACTGTCCGAATCAAACAGCACTACACCACAGTTCTTTACCATGAATAGAGTCAAACAGACACTCATAAAGCAGGAATCAAAATGTCACCTTCGGATCTCCTTCCTTCTTCGCCAACAACTGATTCAAAACCTCCACGCACTCAGAGAACTTGCCACTAGAAAACAACGCCTCCGCCTCCTTCGCCAGCGCATGAGTCACCGGCGAACTCCGCTCGTCCTCCCCCGCCGCCGGCGACGAATCGCGACCGTCCATCTTCAGATCAAGCGCCCCCGACCTGTGCCCCAATCCGAAACAACCCAAACAGCTGAAGACCGCCGAAATCAAACCTACCTCCTTCGTTTCCTCCTCCTCCCGAATCGCCGTTGGTATCAATTGAGGGTCGATGAATGTCGCTGGATCTCTAGGGTTTCCGTTTCCATGAGCTAGGGTTTTGGATTAGGGTTTTGGGACGAATTCGGGAATCGATCGAGATTCTAAAGAGAGGGGGGCAGCGAGAGAGAGAGATAGGGATTTAGGGATTTGATTTGTTTATATAGGTTTGAGATTTTTGAGCAGAGAGTTTCCTGTGAGAGAGAGAGAGATGAGAAGAGTCTTCTCTTTTTCTCTTCCTTTTCTTGGATTTTTTTTTTTTTTTAGTTAATGGGTTCGGGTCTAACTGCTGGTTACGGGGGTGTAAATATTGGCTATAAATAGACAGCAGCGAGCGGAGCAGTGAAGTACTGGCAGTTCGTGACTTGCTAGCGGGTCGGGTTTTTATTCTAATACCGCTTAAGTAACCGCGCTTTGTTTTGGGCCGATTGCATGGGCCGAATTCTAAGGTCCTCGGTAATATTACGAGATCACGCTACCTTTAAAATTGGGAGTTTAGGAAAAAGTTTACGTGGACAATATTACTCTTTACTAGTTCTTATCCACGAGCAAGGCACGTGGTTAAATATTAAAATAAAAATTTATTGTTTATTTTCTTACTATAAAATAAGTCAGATTCGTTTTGAGTTAATATTTATAAACATAGATTATTATATTTGTCATAAATTTTATTTAAACATTTTTAAATTGATTAATTTTGAAAATCTCTTGGGGTCGGGAATAAACAACTAACAAGTTTGCAGTGGAAGCTAGGAAAACGTAGTACATTCTTAAGAATTATTAATTTTTACTTAGTTTGTTTATAAATAATATGATCTGATTATTAACTAACTACAAGGCCTAGTGCATTATTATTTTTGTTTGCCTCATGTGAGTCATCATTGTAATGAGGGAAAATTGCTTCAAGGCCCCCAAAACGAAATCATGATGTGTCCTAGCCCCCTGAACTTTTTCTAATGAGGTTTAGCTCAAAAAATGAAAAATCCATGTGAATCAGCCCTATTTACAATTTCCAAGACAAAAAATCCCCAGACTACCCTCTTCTTCTTCTCCGAAACTTATCTAGATCTGCTCCTTCTCTTCCTACAAACTCATCTCCTCTTCCACCCTCTCTCTAACCTCACTTGAAACCTCCAACACCGCCGCTACCTCCGTCACCCCTGCTGCAGGTTCCTCCACGAGCGTTGCAAGCGGGGAAGGAAAGCAACTCGACGCCGACATGGCCTGCACCGTGCGTTCCGGTCGGGCGGGCCAGGTTTTCGTACGCCCCTGCTCGGGCAGCTTGCCGAATGTCCGCCGGTTGTCACCGCGCGCATGAACAGAGTGTAAGTGAAGGCGGGCGGCTAGCCTAACTTCTTTTCTTAGGCTGTTTTTCGACGGTGGGGTTGCCTGGATTTTGATGAGCGTCGAGGCAGATTTATCTCACTTTTCCTGCTGATAACACTTTCAGAGAAGAGGATGTCTCCAATTATTTTAGGTTACGGAAAATTTTCTTTTTGAACTTTTTGATGGTTTGATAATTGTTGTTTGGGGTTAAAATTGATTTGGGTTCATGTTATTTTCTATAGTATTTATGGGCCAGTTCAAGATGTGAGGATCCCTTATCAGCAAAAGAGAATGTTTGCTTTTGTGTATCTTGAGACTGTGAAGTTGATCTCGCAGCAAAATTTTTAGAGTGATGATCCTTAAAGCTGCTGCATATGCTACTCCTCTAATCTCAACATGTTGGGTCTTGGATGTATATCAAAATCAAGAAAGAAGTAATAAACTCAGGATGTGATATATATAAATGTTGTACAAATTTATGATGGTGATTTTTTGTGTCTGCTGTTGTTTGTTGTCATGTAAGCTCCAGCTGAACTAGGAAGGAGTTTTATGTTGTTCTCTGTGCGGTCTTTAACATGTGAACATGGTTCAAGTTCATATAGTTAATATTTTAACCACACATGTGAACATGGTTCAAGTTCATATAGTTAATATTTTAACCACAATATTTAGCATGTTAACTCTTGTGTTTAACATGTTAACTCTTTTAATATTTTAACCACAATATTTAGCATGTTAACTCTTGTGTTTAACATGTTAACTCTTGTGGATAACAAGTTAATTCTTGTGGCTATATGTTAACTCTTGCGGATAACATGTTAACTTTTGTGGATAACATGTCAACTCTTGTTATTTTAGTTAACGGATAATGGATCAATTTACCAATTAAAGTTAACTGTTATTTCAGTTAATTTTAATTGGTAAATTGATAATTATATTCAGTAAACTGTTAACTATAATCCATTATTCGTTAATTGTTATTTATAATCCATTAATCGTTAACTGTTATTTTGGGTCATATACACGTTAATATAGTTCTCATTTAACATGCTAACTATAATACGTAGCATGTTAACCTTAATTGGTAAATTAATAACTATATTTAGTAAACTGTTAACTATAATCCATTATATGTTAACTGTTATTTATAATTTGTTAACTATTAATTATTATTTGTTAACTATTATTTATAAACTGTTAACTATAATTAATGAACTATCTATTAACTGCTATTCGTGAACTGTCTATTAACTATAATTCATGTTTGTCACAAGAGTTAACATGTTAGCCACAAGAGTTAATATGTTAGCCACAAGAGTTAACATGTTATCCACAAGAGTTAACATATTAGCCATAAGAGTTAACAAATTAGCCACAACGACTAACATGTTATCCACAAGAATTAACATGTTAGCCACAAGAGTTAACATGTTATCCACAAGAGTTGACATGTTATCCACAAAAGTTAACATGTTATCCACAAGAGGTAACATATAGCCACAAGAGTTAACATGTTATCCATAGGAGTTAACATGTTAAACACAAGAGTTAACATGCTAACCACAACAGTTAACATGCTAAATATTATGGTTAAAATATTAACTATATGAACTTGAACCATGTTCACATGTTAAAGACCGATCTTCCTTAATATCTTAATTTTGTATAACAACATTCAAAACTGACCTGTAATATGTATTTATGTTTTGTTATTTGTAGCTATGACTGTGGGATATACATTTACATGTAATGGGTAAAACTTAACAACTAATTTAAAAACTTAACATTTAAAATGAAAAAGTTAACACTTGCTCCACTATACTTAACATGGAACATGTAAACGTTAACAGTTAATTTGCTATAGTTCACTTGTATTGGGTACTCCACTATACTTAACATGGAACATGTAAACGTTAACAGTTAATTTGCTATAGTTCACTTGTATTGGGTAAAACTTAACATTTATACATCCATTATTTTAAATGAATATTTTTGTATGTAGGTTTTTATTCCTCAATTGTCAACCATCATGTACAAACTGCATATAATTTTTAAGCCAACAAAAATTGCCTATGTATATAAACTACATATAGTTTGTACATTATGTGTATAATAAACTGCACGACAAATAACACCACTTACTAACAATAATGACCACAATGCATTCCTAAAATCCCACCATACAATTTGCAATATCAACAACAATCAAACTGCACAGAAAATAACATCAGTTTTAACCCCAAACAACAATTATCAAACCATCAAAAAGTTCAAAAAGAAAATTTCCCGTAACCTAAAATAATTGGAGACATCCTCTTTTCTGAAAGTGTTATCAGTAGGAAAAGTGAGATAAATCTGCCTCGACGCAGGGTTCACCATCCTAGCAAACTCACTCCGGTCGATCCTCGATCGGCCCATAAACCTGCTCTCATCTCCGGCGAGCATCAGCTCCGCCGTCGCAGCCGCAGCCGCCCTGAAATCAAAACGAGTCATCAAAATCCACGGAACCCACCGTCGGGTCTCATGTCATGAGCCTACATCTTCTAATCTTGTTTTGATGATTACAAATAATTTTTAATATTGTTTGTCTAGTGGTTATGTTTCTTATTAGGTATTCTAGACAAACAATGTAAGTTGGAGGTTGGATGGATTGAGCCTACACGTTCATATCAAGAGGAGGTTTGCGGAATAGTAGAGTGAAGCAATGCACGATTCAAAGTTAAAGATCAAGTTCAAGCTTCATCCACATGTGTACCAAGTTGACCATATTGAAGATCTCATAGCTTGGGTAAATTAGTTTAAGGTTTATATAATGTGTGTTAACTCTATAAGCTCAAATATACACACACATATATATTTGTGATTTTCGTGTTTTTATGCAAAATAGGTTTTGGACTATATTTACATCATAAACAACTTTTATTATGTCCATATAAATATTCCATCAGTTTTCAAAACTTATTTTGAGTCAAAAATAAAAATCACATGTTTTTCATATATACGTATTTTAGTGCTTTTGCAGAATACAGTGTTTTTCACAAATTATAAATGCAAATTGAAAAATTCTTTTTCCAACATGTTTGTATGTATGATTATAAACTTTTCCCAAGATTTTACATTTTTTGGAAATTGTTTACTATTTTTAAAGAGCCTTCAAAAATCAGTTTTTGGACATGCACAGTGTCTGTGCATGTTCATAAGTCGACTTATCAGGTCTGATAAGTCGACTTATGAACTAGCTTGGAATATGCATTTTTCCTCTGTTAAGTCGACTTGTTCTTAAAAGTAAGTCGACTTGTACTAAGTCGACTATAAGTCGACTTATAAACTCTCTTTCTGCATCTGATTTTCCTTCTGTCAAGTCGACTTGTGTAACCTGATAAGTCGACTTATATATAGCCGTTGGCACAGTAACGGCTAGTTTCCAGCTTTGTTTATTTTAATGTTTTTAAGGATTTTGGTTGGATTTTTGGGCTGGTTTCTTCAAGCCTATAAATACCCATGTGCATTAACTATTTCCTAACAACTAAGAGGTTTTTAACAAGAGTTTTCAAGTGTTTAAAAGTTTGCTTATTCTCAAGTTTGGGTTTGGTGTTTGTTTACAAAGGAGGAAGCTTACGTTGCCAATTGAGGGATTCACCCTCAATCTTCTTCATCCTCTCTTTGTATTCATAGAGAAGTTTTCCTAACTCTATTCTCTAGCAAATGTATTTTTGATTTTCATAATCATCATTTATTGCTAGTTTGTTAATTGAGTTAGAAATTGTTTATACTCATATTATCACACACACCCTATTTGAGCTTGTAGCAATTTCATACGTCATATATTGGGTTGTGGGGTGTGATTTAGTGAATGTGAGCTTCATTGTGTTCTCACTTGTTAATTGAGAACAAATCATTGTATTTAACTTTTATTTGTGAGAATCACTTGTAATACACTTG